ATTTGGCCGAGATACAACTATTTGAAAATCTGGAATCTGAGGGTGCAAAAAAAATCAAAATATTGAGAAAATCGTCTTTAAAGTTGTCCAAATGAAGTTCTTAGCAATGCATATTACTAATCAAAAATTAAGTTTTAATATATTTACAGTAGGAAATTTACAAAATATCTTCATGGAACATGATTTTTACTTAATATCCTAATTTGGCATAAAAGAAAAATCAATAATTTTGACCCTTTGTACACTGTATTTTTGGCTATTGCTTCAAATATATCCCAGCGACTTAAGACTGGTTTTGTGGTCCAGGGTCACATATACTGATTTGCTGCTCAAGAAACATTTCTTATTATTATCAGTGTTGAAAACATTTTGCTGTCATACATCTAGTTATAAATAAAGTTAAGGAATCAAGCATTTGTGTGAGGGAAAAATGTGTCATTTTTTCAGGGCTATTTAATGAATAGGAAGTACAAAAGAACAGCATTTATTTGAAATGGAAATCTTTTGTAAAAGTATTTGTCTTACTGTCATTTTTGACCAATGTAATGCATCCTTATAGTATAAAAGTATTAAAAAAAACGATCAAAAAAATTGAACAGTAGTGTATTTAGCATTATAACATACAAAAAGTACAAACCAAATCATGATGAATAATTGTAAACAATTATTTTAATCTATTAGCAGCCCTAATATTTTAAGGAGTAATTTCTATCATATGGGTTTAGCAAAAAACAAAATCTTTTAAGTACTTCCTGCTTATGTAACCCCTGGGGTTCGCATACCCTCGGCTGGGAATCACTGCACTAGAGGACAGAACCAGAAGGTTTAGAGAGAGAGAGGACAGTGAGGAGAGAAATTCAAGAGAGGATGAAAGAGCCAAATAGAATAGTTTGAACGGTCAGAAGGGGGAGGGGTGGAAGAAGAGAGAGTGAATGGGAGAAAAAACTATCACAGGCATACACTGAAAGAAGTAGAAAGGATGGAGGGAAGTGTTTGAACTGGATGGCATAGAGATAGAGAGGAAGAGAGAGAGAGAGCATTAAGAATGTTCTTTCACTGTTCTTTCAGAAGTTCCACACTGTCACTACCAGCACCCCCACTACAGGTAACCCCCCAAAAACTGTCCCCTCCCAACCCTTATATCCCCCGCCTTCCACCTTATCCCTCAATCCTACACCTGCAACCCCTGTTAGCTTTAACCCTAAACCTCAATCTAAACCACCTCCCTTGTAGTCACACACCTCTGGCTCTCAGAGAAACAGGTTTCTGAGTGCTGCGTGTGTTGCTGTAGTATTGTAGCATTGCTAGAGAGGCACAGTATGTGCTGGCTCAAGGTGTCCCCATCACTGACAATCATTTAGTTTACCAGTCAGGCTTGTCTCACATCAAGAGAATCAGACTAGATCATTTCAACGGCCCACCACCAAGACAAACACTGCTTACTGTTATCTGTATCCAAATCGATGTATATACCTTCCCCTATCCAACCTTTAAAACTAAAATCACCTCTGTAGTCCATTGAGGCATGTTTTCCCTTCTCCCTTCTCCCATCTCTTCAGCCCAAGCAATATTCTCAGAGCTCACAGTCCCTAGTGGCACTGTGTCTACTGTAAATGCTCAACGCTCTCCTCAACCCAGTTCCCATAATTCAGTAGTCAGGGTTAGTGTGAGGGTAATGCAATTCAGTAATAGTGAATACTGATTACAGCACTCAATCAGATTGGCAGGTTCTGGAAATCAGGGTGAACAGGTTTTAATCATAAACAGTCATGTTTACAATGAACACTTCTAAGCAAGAGCTAGACGTAACAAGTTTGCTAAGTTCATGGTACTGAATTTTTAAAAGTTTATTCTATGCGCTTATTATCATGTAATGACATCATTGTGCACAACTGCATGTTCAGTACAGATGGACAATATATCATCAGCTGTCATATTGATACCTTTATGATAAGTAAAATAGGCAAATATATATACACTACTGTTCAGAAGTTTGGGGTCAGTAATATCAAAGGGGTCAAAATGTGATCAAAATTCATCAAAAGGGAGTGTAATGATCTTTACATTTTTACAAATACATCATATTTCAAATAAATGCTGTTCTTTTGAGTTTTAAATTTATTAAATAATCCTGAAAAAAATGTGTCCCACTTTCCACAAAAATATGAAGCAGCACCACTGTTTTCAGCATTAGTAATAATAAGAAATGTTTACTGAGCACCAAAGCAGCTTATTAGAATGATTTCTTAATGATCATGTGAGGTTGGAGTAATTGCTGCAAAAATGCAGCATTGCTAAATTACATTTATATATTAAAAATATATTATAAATATAAAACAGTTATTTAAACTACAAATTATTTCACAATATTGCTGTTTTTACTGTATATCTGATCAAATAAATGCTGCATTGGTAGCATAAGTGAATTCTTTCAAAAACATTTAAAAAATCTTACTGACCCCAACTTTTTTGAAAGGTAATGTCATTAATTGATAATGATCACAAACAAATTATTACTTACTACCTTTCTTTTTTTATTCTATTCATGAGTTATATTTTCCATTTAGCTTTTATTAAAGAAAGTTGACCGTAGGCATGTTTAATTTCTTTATCAATAGTTAATAGTCCTACATTTCTGAAATGGTTATTCAATAAGAAATTTGTAGAAAGTTGTAGGAAAATTTCTGCAGCTGTGTAGATTCATGTTATATTGGCCAGTTATATATATTATAGATATATTATTATAGATAATTATATATATCTAGAATTATTGATATATCATTATCAGTAATAGTCATTGACCACAATTTCTTCATCTATGCATCACTAGTATTCAGCTTTTGTTTTCAGACAATATTTTCCACAGTTTCATTGTTGATGACTTTAGAACCATTTACAGGAATTATTATGCAATTATTTGAATGAACTGCCACTTTGTTTCATACCAGTTTATTATTGTTGCGTGAAACGGATCATCAGATTTACCCATCCCTAAACATATAAACGTATAAAAGGCAAAGTATGGCTATTTTTTTTTTACATGTAGTAAAAAGTGGTCCCTTCCTGTCTAAGTGGGTGTTTCTTTATCCATAATAAGCTACTGTGTAGAACAGACTTAATGCCAAAAGTCCAGAGACTAATGTAGGGCACAAGAGTAATGCATGTCTGCTGTTACATTTAATGCTGTTTAAGTTAATACTCCATTATGATAACTGGATCAGAGTGCTTTTAATGTGTTACTGTTGTATCTTCTCAGTTTACTGAAGGTGTCTCAGGTGTTTAATGTGTGCAGGGATTATGTTATTTCATACCCTATGTCTATTCAAATGCAGCAATTTAATGTGAGTGAAGAACTCTCACCTTTTCAGACGTATTCACCTCTCCACCTGGTGCAGTGTCCCACCTCACTGGCTGCCATGCTCTAAAGATAGCCGAGATTGCTCTAGCATGAATGTCTTGCTGCACTGGTACCTTATAATACAGGCAGCAGCACCTAAATGTAAAAATTAAGACAGAAACAACTCTAGGAAGACAAAAGGGCTAATGATTAGTTTTAACAGGCAAGCTGATCAACCCCTCCTCTAATTCCCCTGGAATCCTTCAGCTTTACATGCATACAGAAACACCTACACACATACACAATCCCACACTCACTTGTGGCTTTTATGAACCTTTCCTGCACACTTTTGTCGCAGGGGTTGTTTTTTAGTTGATTAATTGAAACCCTAACTAACCTGTCTTATAACCTCCCTAATCTTTCTGTCTGTCCTGGCATTCCATACACAGTGGACAGAGGTAAGAGACACTTCAGTTTCACTTTAAGCACTTTGCTAAAGTTGCGTGTGTTCAGGATTGGGGGTGCATTTTGTGTGCATCCTGGAAAAGAGTGATTTTTCTATTTGTTTGTTTGTGCCTGACCTAAATAAAAAAGTGTTTACCTCTTGCTACTTGTTAGTTGATGGGAATGTGATTACAGCATTAAGAGCTCATACAGTATTACTACAGGCTGATGGTGTTCCACCTTACATTGACTCTCTGTTTGCTTGATCACAGCCTCTGCCCCATGGAAAAAAAAATCAGGTAAAGCTCTTTGTCCGCTCTGTCTGTCTTGTATGAGACACTTGACCTAATGGGTCTGCAAATATTTCTTATGGGATGAAACCTGTCTATCTGTTACAGAGTTCGAGTCTTCACAAGCTACAGAGAAGAAGAGGACAGTTTATCAGATGGCTTTGAGTAAGAGATTCATTGGTTTTATACAGAGGGACTGTCATGCATCTAGTCATACTTAAAGTTAAAAAAAAAAGAGATAGTTCACCCAAAAATTAATATTCTGTCATCAATTATTCAGTTACGCAATTAAAAATTGTATTACTGAGCACCAAAGATATTTGATATGAGATATTTAGCAGAATGCAAAATAGATGGAGACAAAAAAAATGAAACATCATAAAAATAGTCCTAGTCCAAATCTTTTCAACCATATTCCAAGCCAGGGGTGCCCAGACTCGGTCCTGGAGGGCCGGTGTCCTGCAGAGTTTCCAAGCGATTTAAAGCCATATGATAGTTTTGTGTGAGGTGTAGTATAGGCTGAAATTTTGTTTTATTATTCATTGAAAATCTTGCTTGACAGGCATGACCACAGTTTACTTTAATTGTATGGAAAAAGAGCAGCTTTGCTATTCTGCTATAAATAAATTCCTTTGTGTTTCATGGAAGAAAAAAAAGGTTTTAAAAAAAACATGGGTGAGACTGATGATGGAATTATCATTTGTTGGGTAAACATCTTTAAATCAATTCAAGCTAAAAATAGAAATAGTTCGTAAATTAATTAATTAATTCTCTCTCTTTTATTTTATGGCAGATAAACTGGATGAGATTTTAGCAGCAGCACAGCAGACCATCAGTACCAATGAGGCCCCAGGGCCCCGGGTTCAGGGGATAAAAAGAGAACGGGGCAGAGGCTTATATAATGAGGTGTGTTTATGTGTGAGACGATTGAAGCAGTTATTAAAGATCATTATGATTATAAGATGACATTTTTTAGATGATGCTCAAGATATGAGCTGAGCTATATTTTTTTGCGGAAAATGTTTAGCAAAATTGCATTATTTTAAAAATTGGTTCATAATGTTATTTCTCTCCATGTATTTTGGCAGCCAAGTTTCGACCAATCGGGAATGGGGATGACATCATCTGGGGCAGGGCTAGGCTATGACCGTGGTCAATTTGTGTCTGGCCACGGCCCCCCGCACGGTATGCTGCGACAGAAGTCTATCGGTGAGGCTGTCTGTTAGTCCATCTGTCTGTCTGCTCACCTGTCTGTCTAACCATACTGCTGTACGTCTATGGTACGTGCGTTTAGAGCACTCAAAAGAGTGCAGCTGTGGGTTTGCTTTAATGCTTATCATCTGTAATTCTTTATTGCTCTAGAATAGAGACTATACATGTCAGTTTTTGGAAACAGTCCATAAGAATCTTGTCAGGGGTTTGACTGGGTTACTGGAGAGGCCAATTGCCATAACAAAGGTGAATGAGATTTATTTCATCTGGTGCTCAGCATCAGTGTTCATTCTTGGTTGAACTATAAAATTTACAGCCCATTTATAACCCCGAAGATTATTAGCACACTATCTGTATGATAAGAAATGATTTCTGTCCCATGCCTTAAATATGTAATGCTGTCAATGTCAATATGTGATTAAATGTTCAATATGAACAGTTCACTTTCTTGGGTTGCACAGTTGCTAACTTTATTTACATTAAAAAACAAACAAGAGCATTTGTTTAATTTGCATGGCATTAGATAAAGCTATTGTGTATGTGTCATTTCTTGTGTCCTCAGGTAGACTTTATGTGTGTATTGCATTTGTCCTTGTATAACACACTGTAACTAAAACTGGTCTGCACAGACACAAAAGAGCATTGCAGAAGTAGAGAGGTGAATGGCTTGTACGTGTTACTGCTGGGAGATTGCCCAGTTATAGTAATAACAGACAAGCTGACAGACAGACAGACATACTACAAGATGGTCTCATTTCTGTATCCCATTTTATTGCCCTCTGCTCATTTTTAGGAAATAAAGATATCTTTTCCTTTCTTACTCTTTTCTCATTTCCAGCTGTTGTACATTCTCTCTCGCTCAAACATATTTTTCTTTTGTCTTTGTTGTTTTGTAACACTCCTTTCTATTCATTCTCCCTTTATTTATTTCCTTGAAAATGTATTTCATCTTTCTCTTTTTGGTTTTCTTTTTCTGCAGGGGTTCCAGAGGAGGAAAAGCAGTTCCTTCATCCTCCAGCCATGAAGTTTGCCCGCAGTCTTTCAGTACCTGGCCCAGATGACATCCCTCCTCCCCCTACTACAGCTCCCCCTGAGCCCCCTTTCTCCTCAGCTCCCCCTCTTGGCTTTAGGGGCAAAACATCCCAGCAGCCATCTGTTTCTGTGTCCCAATCCACTTCCTCTTCTGCACAGTATCAGCTCTACTCACAGTCAGTACATGTCACACATGGACCCAGAGACAGGTCCCCTGGACCACCTGCTGGGTCCGGAACTGGGGACCTCTCTTACTCCCATGCTCAAGCCCACCCCTCTGTGCCAAGCAGGACTGCCTCCAGAAAGGTGATTGGGTACACAGGGGACCTTGCAGGGGCTGGAGGAGCACCAGGAGCCAAGGCAGCAGCATTGAGAAGGGGCTACAGCAATGCAGTCCCACCCACTAGTGTCGCTACTGTAATTCCTCAACAGCAACAGACTACTCAGAGCCAACCTTCCAGGATGGACCGCAGTGCGATAGGGGCAGGAGCAGGGGCAGGTGGCGTACCGAAAGGTGGTGCCCGGAGAGGGAAGGGGCCCTTGGTGAAGCAGTCAAAGGTGGAGGATCTGCGTCAGGGCCAGGGCACACTGGAAGGGAAGGGGTCAGTGGAGAAGAGCTCTATTCCTATCCCAACCATCATTGTTAAAGCTCCTTCCACCAGCAGCAGTGGACGTAGTAGCCAAGGCAGCAGTATGGAGGCTGAACCGCCACAACAGTACAAATTCAGCCGGACGCTCCTCTTCTCCCACACCACCTCCTCTCTCTATTCCAGCTCCACCTGCCTACCGGGGCCCTCCAACAGCAACATCCACCCCAGCAACTTCTGTATCTCTCAGAGGTGCCTCAACTGTAACCGCAAGCTGTTCCACAACTGCTTCTACAACTGTCGTCTCTTCTGCTACTACCGCTGCTGCCGCTGTCACACCACACACACGCATTGCAACTGTCTCCACAGTAGCTACAGGGGGTAGCAGACGGCCCAGCGCAGAGCATCATCCGACACCCAGTGCAGCTGCAGCTAAGAGTGGCGAGTCTCAGGAGACAGTGGTGGATTCTGGGATTGAGGAGCTGGACAGCCGAAGCAGCAGCGACCATCACTTAGACAACATCCTTGCACTCAGTGGTAGTGGGGTCAGAGAAAGGTTGGAGAGAGCAGGGATGGGTAGCATAGGTGGAGTTGGAGAGAGAGGTGGGGCAACAGAGGCCGACAGAACAAGTGGGGCAGACTTTTTAGAGTCTTACATGAGCTATCTTGATGGACAGACTTTTGAAATGCACAATGCCAAAGCCGCCAGCACCGCATCCACCTACCCAAAAACACAGAGGTACAGAGAAGGGAGCCGGGCTGGAGATCTTCGACGCCAAACCAGCACGGCACCCCCTGCATACCACCGTCGTAGGGAGGAGGAAGAGGAGGAGGAGGCAGAGGAGGGAGAGGAGGAGGACGTGAATGTCCGCGATGGCTATGGAATGAGGCAAGGGCCAGGGATCGCTCGCTCCTCTGTAATGTACTTTGACCGGCCCCGCACTCCAGAGATAAAACCGCTGTGGGGTGATGGGTCGGCCGGAGCAGCGCAGTCCATAGGGGAGGGAGGGGTCCAGACTGGGGGGACATATGTGGAGGCACGTAAACTACATCCTCCCATGTCCGGTATGAAGGCAAGCATCATCAATGAACTAAGCACCAAATTACAGCAGAGGTGCAAAGGAACGGAGAACTGGGGAGCTCAGAGATCACTGAGCAGACATAGGTATTTGTGTGTTATCAGTATAGGTATATGTGCATGACTGTGTGTTAATGTCTGCATGGTGGCCTTGAAAGGAGGCATGTGGCATGGGAAATCTCTAAGCTGCACGAGCATTGTGTGATTTGGTATGCCATGAGTCATAATCAAATTATGAGCCATTCAGTTAAAGAACTCCTGTGATATTCAGAGTAACATAGTGTGTGAAAATAGTTTTGTAACTGCCATTTTATTATCAGTGTCTCAAACACCAATGAACTCTGTGTGTGTTCTGTCTAACTGTGTCTGTTAAACTGTTCCTCTCTTTTGTGATTTCTGCTTTTTATCGCACTGTCCATGTACGTCTGTTTGTCCCACATCAGATACAGGTAACTGCTGCAGTATTCCGCTCTCTCTTTCTCTTTACTGTCAAACTCTTTTTTCCTTTTTCTCTCTTTTTGTCCTATCTCTTATTCGTTTGCCTTAATTTGTGTTTCATTTTCTCTCATTTCAGGTTCTCAGAGGACTCCACAGGTGCACTGAGTCCTCCCTCTGTCCGCTCTAGCTCCCCATCTCCTGTTCAGCTCTCTCAGCCTGCCTTGTCTCCCTCCCCCACCCCTTCTTCCCAGCCGCTCTACCCAAACTGGGCTCGATCTCCTTCCCCTCAGCCCCCTGCTGCCTCATCCCAGCCTCCTCCCCGATCACACTCACCTGTTTCTCCCTCTTCATATTCGCCGTACCCCACCTCACCCAAACACCGGCCCGTTTACCGCACCAAAGCCCTGGAGTTCCAGTTTATACCCAGCCGAGAGTCACGTAAGGCAGAGTCGCATTACGCTCAGCGCAGACGAGCACCCAGCCCCTTAATTTCACCCTCTGACCGCCCCAAGCTTGGCCCTCCCCGCCCCTCTTCCCTTCCCATTCTCCCCACCACGCCCCTCTCTAGCCGCTTGTTTGGCCGGTCTCTCGCTCCTTGTCACCCACCCACTTCCTGTCAGGGACTTCATCCCCACCACTCCACCCCATTCCTCCACCCACTTGCCTGAGTTACCCTCACCTCCCACCCCCTTCACCCACCAAACCCTTCGCCTCCAAACCACTCCCATACTGGACCAAGTATGACGTTGCGGATTGGCTGGGCTACCTGAACCTGGGTGAGCACAGGGAGCGATTCCTAGATAACGAGATTGATGGCACGCACCTGCCCTCTCTTACCAAGGACGACTACCTGGACCTGGGTGTGACCAGGGTTGGCCATCGCATGAACATAGAGAGGGCACTCAGGAGAGTGATGGACAGGTGAGAGGAGGGACAGAAGGGGAAGCAGAGAGATGCAAGGGAGGACAGCGATGGAGAGGGATTAGGGTGAGAAAGGGGCAGTGCATGAACAAACAAAGGTAGTACAGTTGAGGTAAAAACATTGATATGCTATTGATTGCTAACTTCTGGGAACATTTGGAGTGGACCGCTGCATGAGGTCCAGGATGGCATGGGGAAAGAGAAGGAGAACAGAAAGGGGGATGCGGGTGAACAAGAGAAAAATTATTTCCTTACACTTTCCACCTTCCCCCTATCATCAGGCTGTCTTCTAGCACTTTCCCCATTTCTGCCCTCTCCTCTCGAGATGAACGGACAGACAGAAGGAGAGATGAGGCCAACCGGAGTTGAGAGGACAGGAAAGATGAGGTGACAACTGCTGCCATCAGAGATTATTCCCTGAATTAAGAAAACTGCAGGAAGAGGTGACTTCGACATCAAACTGCCAACTCGCAGATGGAGAGATACAGGAGAAACGGAGAGCATTGAAGGCCTGTCGAGCTGTGAACATGCCTGCGCTTACGTGTGTTTCAGTCAACAAAAACATAAACGCCTACATACACATCCGTACATATCAACATTTAAACAGAACACACTTAGTTTGAGCTTGCAGGCACTCACAAGGTGATCAAAATGGAAATAGATGAATCAAATCGGGGAAACTAACTCTATGAGGATACCGAAGTTCAACATGAGAAGGTAACATACTACATAACTGAGCCAAATAATTTGAGGGAAACAATCAAAATGCTCTTTAGCTTTCCTGTTTTTCTGTAGTACTATAGGAAGAGATAGGGAGAAAGAGAGATATTGAAACCTCCTTTGCTATCTTTCTCTTTTTCTCAGATTTTCAGCTGAGTCTGTATTACTGGCAAATATTTACTAATGGTCTCATTTATAGAGTAGGTTCAATGGAGACCAATGCAGGGAGGGCAAGTACTGACAAACCTCCTGTCTGGCATGACTAGGGAAGCCCTTAAAATAGAGGTCAATTTAACGGCAGGCACTTATTTGGTAAGACTGTGTTTATGCTTGGGTTCCTGTTGTTTGTGTGTGAGTGCGTGTACTTGATAATGTGAAAGGTTATCACTAGAGGCATGACCGTGATTTGTTATGTGTTTTTACCTCACCAATGGAGGGATTCTATTTTGCCGAAGCCAGATTGGGGCTTGTGCGTATCTTGTATTTCACTAGAACTTCTTTACCTTCTCATGTTCTCATGTCTTATAATGAAATAATATATATATATATATATATATATATATATATATATATATATATATATATATATATATAT